AGATTATATTGATTTAATCAATAAGCTACAGTGATACACGCGGTGCAGCCTTTCGTACTGTCTTCACGTTAAAGACGGACAACAATTCTGCAGATTTGAGTACCCTAAAGAAAGTATTAAAAATAAATTTATGTACGAAGATAGCCACGGTCAGCCTGAACTTGTAACTAAAAGAAATGATCTAAGTATCAATACACACAGTAGACTTCAATTGCAAGGTTGGCATGCAAATATCAACCTAAAGCTGATCCTAAGTATACATGCAGCTTTGCAGTATATTTCGAAATATACAAGCAAAGCAGAATCATGATCTTCTGCCTTCTCGGAGATACTGAATCAAATTCTTAGAAGCAGCGAACCTGATGACCTAATACTTACCTCAGTCCAGAAGTTACTACTCCACAGTGTGGCAGAACGTGACATTTCTACTCAGGGAAACTTGTCACCTTCTTCTTGGTATTCCACTGTATCATTCAAGTAGGGATTTATTTTCTTGAATCTCAACAAAGAAACACCAAGATGGATTTGTGGCACTGGAAAAAGTAGAGGCTTTATTATAGTAGATTCCGGGCAGACTGAAAAGTTGCCTTTAGAAAGTTATTAGGAACGACCTACAGAACTTGAGAATTTTACATTATTTCAGCTTCAAGTAAAATACAAATTTGCTAAAAATCATTGGAAAAAATGTAATCAAAAAAATGTCATGCGTATCTTTCCACGCCTATCACCCTTACGTGAAGGTCCTCAATGGGAAGAGTTTTGTCGTGTAAAAGTTCTTCTTCATGTTCGCCACCGGAATCTCCAACAATTAACTGAAGAAGAAACTATTGCATGGTCAACTTTATATGAAAGTTACCTCGAAGAGATCAATTTTGACCTGATAGATCTACTTGGATCTCCTATAGATAATGAAGAAAACGAAATAATTAATAAAGAGAATGATAAACTACTTAAGGATGACGAACAAGATGAACGTCGACCTGATTGGATAGTTCTAGCTGAGATGGGTCCAAACGCAGCCATTGAAAGTTTTTTTGACCTAGGATCTCACGATATAGATCGAAACTATGACTGAATCAGTGATTGTAGGAAACGATATTCTAATACAGACTTAATGGATGCTGATACATTTATGATCAGAGCTTCTGATAAACAAAAGCATAACGCCAAGGAAAAAGTGACTGACACTGTGGACTATCAAACATTAAATAAAAAATAAAAGATAGTTTTTAAGCGAATAGAATCTCATTACAACAATATACTCAAAGGCCATCAAGTTGAATCACTAAGAATTATCATAATGGGGACTGCAGGAACTGGAAAAACTTACCTTATTAATGCAATCTGAGGTAGGCTTTACGAGATGAGAGGAACTAAATCTAAGTCACCTGTACTTGTTCTTGCACTAACAGGTATTGCAGCTTTCAACATCAATGTGTTACGATCCATTTGGCATTTTTCATTCTAATAATCGTTAATAAAAATCTTGACATAAGTGGTGAACGATTGAAGCAGCTACAAAAGAAATTACAAGATGTGATCTATATAGTAATCGATGAGAAAAGCATGGTTAGATGCCGAATGCTTGGTCTAATCGACATGAGATTACGACAGGCATTTCCTGAACATAGTAATGAGGCTTTTAGAGGTAGATCAATTATTTTGTTTGGTAATTTGGCCAACTTCCGCCTGTACTTGATCTTCCCATGTATGCAGAAAATTTATGAGATCCGATGTCTAATAACGGTCATGCAGCGTACAAGCAATTTAAAATGCATACAAACTTGTTGTTATTCAGCGTCAATCTGGAAGTAGTAAAGAGCAATAAGACTTCAGAGATCTCCTTTTAAGGTTGCGTGATGGAGAATCTACATTAGATGACTGGAAGACATTTGTTACACAGTTTGAAGGGGAACTAAGTAGAGCAGAGCGTAGTAGATTCTCCAATGCTATGTTTATCTTGATGAAGTGGTTTGACGTTAATGCTGTCAATATAGAATGGCTTAGGCTTCTAGATGTTCCTGTTGCAAAAATTCTTGCAATGCATACAGGCGGCAATGAAGCCAAAAGAGCTGACTCTGACATTACACATGGTTTTGAAGCAAAATTGTTGTTAGCAAGAGGTGCGTGTGTTATGCTAACTTCAAACTTGTGGACAGAAGCTGGATTAGTCAATGGTGCAATGGGAACTGTTTAGGATATTCTATTCAGAGAAGGTCAGGAGCTACCTTCTCTTTCTGTAGCAGTTTTCGTTTCTTTTGACAATTACGAAGGTCCTACTATTACCAGCTTAGAGAGCACAAAAGTTATTCCCATTGCATCTATTCGACGTACCTGGGAGGGTAAATCTGGAACATTATGTTCACGTCTACAAGTTCCTCTTCGTCTTGCGTGGACCATTACAGTACACAAAAGTCAAGGACTCACGTTACAAAAAGCTGTAATAGATCTTAGTGATAAAGAATTTACAGCCAGTCTTTCGTTTGTTGCAGAGTCTCAGGTCTGTGAACTTGGAAACATCCTCTTTAAACCCTTTAATTTTGAGAGACTAAAACGTATCAAAGAATGCAAAAGATTAAGTGAGAGAAAAGAAGAAGAAAACCGCTTGATTTTTATAGTTCCTAGAGATTAAATTAGTTACAATGCAATATATAAATAATAAAACTTTGTTTATAAAATAAAATAAAATTTTGATTAAATAAAGCTTCAATTTTATTACATATAAACTCTAGTCTTTACAATGAAATAAAACTCTATATAATATAACACTACTATAATTTTAAAATTGTGGTAAAAAAAACGAAACAAAAAAATGGAATAAAAAAAATGAAACAAAAAGAGATGATCTATATATCTTTGTACGACCATTTCTATTTATCACATAGGACGTGATTGTGCGACTAAATTTTATTTATTTTGATCTTTGATTCTTATCATATACGTGGCGTGATAAGAGGAAATTTCACGTGATGATCAGATTTTCACACTAATTCCTAAAAGTATAAAGTCCTACGCTTCGCTCTGAACAATAATAATAATAAAATATAAGAATAAAATAAATTAAATAAAAATGTTGACTAAGTTAAAAATGTTAAAGAAGTTAATAACGTTAATCATTTGTTAATCTTTGTAGCGCAGTAAGATTGACTTCACATAGTATCAATTTTCTCCTCTAAATTTGCAACTCCTGCAAAAATTTCATAAGCTTCATCAACCAGGTCCTTGAAATCCTGAGATTTGAGATTATAAATCATCTTAAGAGTTATTTTCCTAGTATGTCTGATTTGTACGATTCCCAGAGTTTCAAAAAGATAATAAGTCCTTTTTGAGGCCTGTCGATAGTATAAAATCATTTGGTTTTTAAATTGAGTTCGTTCAGCTAGACTTGAAGTTTCTGTCTCCATTACTTGTCCAATATAAATTGCATTAGCTAAAGCTAATACTCTATTTTTTAACCTGGTAGCTCATAATAAAGCTCTATAAGTAGTTTTGACTTTTTATGCAGTTGAGTCAGTCTCCATGTAAGGTGGGGGAATATTGGTATCCGCTAGGATATTAACTGCCATTAAATCATCCTTAACTTCTTGAAATAAAGTTGTTATATTGGAAAATTTTGAGAAATTTTCAAAGGAGTTTACTTTCTTATATAACAATCTGAGACTCCCAATTTTGACGATTATAATAAGACTTTAATAGATTTCTATTTACAGGTATACGTAGCACTCTTTCATCTATTTCTCTTATCTTATATAATCTATTCATTAAAACTTGATGAATATAATAAGGTCCTTTCCATTTTGGGTTTAGTTTACCAGACCATTGCTTATCTTTAGCTGCATCATAATAAAGAACTTTATCTCCAATTTCAAATTGATTAAAATGATCAATTTGTCTATCATGACGATTCTTTTGTTTTTGTTGTGCTATTGCAATACAATTTTTTTGCAATTTCTCTAGTTTGTGGTAATTGATTAACCAAATTTTGTAAATGTTTAGATAATGTGACATTTGAATTGTCAAGATCATCTAGGAGTAATATTGCATTTCTCCTATATACAAGATAAAAAAGAGATATTTTTGTGACTGAGTGTTTGCTTGTACAATATGCAAACAAAGTTGATGCAATTTGTAGATCCCAGTTATTTAGATCTTGTGCAGTTTTCACTAAAGATTCACACAAGATACAGTTAAAATGTTCCACTAAACTATTTATCTGAGGGTGGTAAGGTGTTGATAGTAGATGTTTGATTTTGAACTTATCCATCAAATTCTTGATCATTTGATTATTAAAATGGATTTCTCTATCAAAAAGGATTTTCATAGGACATCCATGACAACAGATTATGTATTTATAAATAAATAAGGCAACCTGTTTCGCAGTAGCTTCAGGAACAGCTTTGGCTTTAGGCCACTTAGTAAAATAGACGACTGCCACGATGATATGTTTATTTCCATTTGATGTTATAGGTAAAGGTCTAACGAAATCTATACCAATTTGATAAAAAGGTGCTTGGACTGGTATAGGATATAGCTCTTCATGTTTCTTTAGTTTTTCTCTTCTTTGGCAGCTATTGCAAGAACAAACATATTCTCTGATATTTTCATATAATTGTAGCCAATAGTATCATTCTTTGATTTTATCAAACATTATATCTACTGCAAAATGTCTAGCAGTTGGATCATTATGCATCTTATAAAGTACAGCTTCCATTTCATATGATCAAATAACTCTGAAAAGTTTTTGACGAACGTGTTTATATAAATAATTATTTTTAATTTCGAAATATCTAGATTGTTTAACTAATTTTTATTGCTAAGTTAATGTTAAATCGTCTGGTAAAGTTTGATTTTGCAAATAATTAAAAAGATGATTATATTGTTTTATATTTATTTTGAGCTGTTTATCATACTGCAAACACTTCAGCTTTCACTCAAATAAATATATTTTAACAGATGTTTAAGGGGGATAAGAGATTAATGAGTAGATAGGGGAATAATATCTAATATTTCATAAAGTTGAGAATATGCATTTTCTTGTTGTACTAGAACTGATTCTTCCCACCATATGTCATTAACTAAATAAGTTGGTTTCATATCAGGGTGAATTTTTCCTCTTTCATATCCTATAATACAATCATGAATAATTATACTATAAGGTAAATTCTTTTTATACGCTTTACAGTAAGTGTAAATATGATGATTCTCCATATCACAGGTGAAAGTATATTAAGACCCTCCTTTGGTAATCAGTTGGTTGGCTATAACTGATTTAATTTTAATATTTTCACGATATATATCTTCCATTTCATCCTTTGGGTTTTCGTATCCAACTGCAGTAATTAAGGATACATTGGAGAATTGTTGAAGTAATTGTTTCTCAAACCATGCTTCTTCATTATCTTTAATAGAGTTATATTCAGAAGAAATATACCATTTGTCCTCTGACTTTTCAATTTCCTCAGTAGTTACCATGAAGACTTCATGTGTATTATCTTCATATTTTTGGTCATTATTTATTCGTGAAAGGGCATCAGCATTAGCATTTAGTTTTCCAGGCCTATGCTTAATTTCAAAATCATATTGTTGGAGTTTCATGATCCATCGTGCTCTCCTTCCTTTAGGAATTTTTGATGTTTGTAACCATTTAAGAGCTGAATAGTCAGTAATAATAGTAAAAGGTTGTGAGCTTAAATAATGGTAAAAGTATCTCACAGCTCATACAACTGCAAGGCATTCTTAATCAGTTATTCCATAATTTTGCTCAACTTTGTTCATACTTCTACTGGCATATGCTACCGCACAATCAAGCTCATTTTCTAACTTTTGGGAGAGAACAGCTTCTAAGCCATTTCCAGAAGCATTGGTGTATAAGATAAATGGTTTATTAAAATTTGGATACTGCAAAATGAGTGCAGTAATTAATTTCTCCTTTAAAATATCAAAAGCTTTTTGTTAAGCATCTGTCCATAAGAACGGTTCTTCCTTTTTCAACAATTGAGTTAAAGGTTTGGCAATTTTTGAGAATCCTGAAACAAATCGTTGATAATATGAGAATAATCCTAGCGCAGACCTCAAACTTGTTAGGTCAACTGAAATGGGAAAGCTTTTAACTTTATCAATTTTTGCAGGGTTGAGTTGTAATCCATTTCTTCTAACTACATGTCCTAAGTACATTATATTAGGTAGGTAAAAATGACACTTTTTAAGCTTAATCATTAGATTCACTTGCTTGATCACTTGGAATACTTTTCTTAAATGTTGAATATGATTCTCATAAGTTGTTGAGTAAATAATAATATTGTTTAAATAGACAGCAACAAATTCATACAAGAATTCTTAGAGAATATGGTTCATTAACCTTTGGAAGGTTGCTGATGCATTCTTCAGTCTAAAGGGCATAACATTGAATTCGTATAGACCAAACTGCAAAATAAAAGCAGTTTTTTCCTTATCCTTTTCACTCATTTCTACCTGCCAATAACCACTAGCAAGGTCAAGTGTAGAAACCAATTTGCTTCTCTAAATTTCTTTAGTAAATCATCAATTCTCGGTAGAGGATATGCATCACTTTTAGAAATAGAATTTAGCTTTCTATAATCAATGCAGATTTGTTTATCTCCAGTTTTCTTTGCTACTATAACTACAGGAGAAGCTCAGAGACCTAATGACTTCCTGATAATTCCATTTTCTTCTATACGTTTGATTTCATTCTTAAGAAAATTAAGCTTTACTGAATCTTTGCATTTATAAGCTCCTGTGGTAACCGGATCATGATTATTGGTCAGAATATTATGTTTTACCAAACTAGGTCGTCCAATTTTTGTTTGGCTTAAGGCACATATATCTTCATAATCATCAATTAATTTTGAAAAGACATTTGCTGCTTGTTATCAAGAGGTCTAACTTGAAGGTCATCCTTAATTTTCCAAATATTTTCTTTAGAAGTTTCAGCAAGAAATACTGCTGGATTAGTCTCAAATTCTTTTTTAAATGCTAAAGTTAAATAGATAGGATTTTCTTCATTCCAGAAGTTGTAGTCGAGGAGTAGAAGGTCAGTTTCCTCCTCATATTCTTCTTGACTGTCTGCCATATACGCTTCAATTTCGCTAAGTTCCTCTTCTTCATAATTGTCTAAAACTTATTCTAGTTCGTCATCCTGTTGATCTTGAGTAGTAGAATAACTAACAGGGGCTTCATTTACACTAGAAGTTACAGGAACTGTAATTGTTTTTGCTAAATATCTCAACCTAATTTGGTTGGTTCCAAAATCAAGGCTAGCATGAGTTTTTCTAAACCAATCTGTTCCTAAAAGTAAGGTTTCATCTTGTGAGTCGATAACTTG